GGCTTACGAAGAAAAATATCAAATTTGAGTGGAATAATGACTGTGAAAGAAACTTTACAAAACTCAAGAAATGATTGACTACCACGCCAGTTTTAGCTCTGTCGAGTGGGACAGGTGGATACACAGTGTACAGTGATGTTTCCTACCCTAGGTTGAGTTGTATTCTGATGCAGCACGGAAAGGTCATAACCTATGGGTCCACACAGCTGAAAAGGCATGAAAAGAATTTCCTCACCAACGACTTTGAACTTGCCGTTATTATTCACGTTTCGAAGAACTGACGCCACTACTTGTATAGAGAGCCTTTTAAGATTTATACAAGCTATAAGAGTTTAAAACATATATTCATCCAGAAGGATCTCAACATGCGTCAGAGGCGTTGGATAGAGCTCATCAAGGACCAGGATTGTAAGATCTTATATCATCCAAGTAAGGGCAATGTGGTAGCCGACGCACCTAGTAAGAAAATTGTAAATATGTTGGCTCACATAATAGTTTTTGAATGCAGGGTAATAAAGACTACACAACATATATAGTTTCAGGATTTGAAAAAGAGCCACATGCTTAACCCATCTAGTTGTTCAAACTGAATTGATTTAGAGAATAAAAGAAGTCTAACTGATTGATTCCACTCTAGTAGCTCTAAGAAAGGATACAGAACATGCCATAAATCTAGAATTTCGAGTCTCCGCTGATTGGTTGCTCAGGTTCCAAGACATGATGTGTGTTCCAAATGACAATGAACTAAAAAAAGATATCATGATAGAAGCTCATAGTTCAAAATTTACCATGCACCCAAAAAATACTAAGATGTATTAAAGCATGTGACCCCAATTTTGGTGGAGCGGGATAGAATGAAAAATTATCGATTTTGTCTCCAAGTACTTTGTATATTAGCAAGTTAAGGCATAACATCAATGCCTATACAAGTTACTTCAGTCATTACTAATTCCGGAGTAGAAATGGGAACATATCACTATGAATTTTATAACAGAATTGCCTAAGGCACGCTTGGAGCATGATACAATTTGGATAATTATTAACCGACTCACCAAGTCCTCTCATTTTTTGACCATCAGAGTGAGCAATCCCTTAGACAAGGTAGTAAGAATCTATATCCATAAAATAGTCAGGCTATATGGAGTTTCAGTGATAGTGGTATTAGGTAGGGACTCTAGGTTCACCTCTCAGTTTTAGTCAAGTTTCAGCAAACAATTGGAACAAAACTGTGTTTTAACACAACATTCCACACTCAAACAGATGGACAATTAGAGCAAACTATTTATACACTGGAGAATATACTTAGAGCTTATGTTATGGACTTCGGAAAACATTGGGACGATCACCTACCTCTGATAGAGTTCGCCTACAATAATTGATACTGGTATTTCACATGCTTAGGGCGATCGATTGTTCCTTAAGTTCATCCTCTTTAAGGACATCAGTATGTTTGGAAAGAAGAAAAAATTAAATTTCCAGTTCATCGGACTGTTTAAGATCTTAGACAGAGTTGGTACAGCCGCCTATAGACTAACACTACCTACGGAGCTATTCCGGGTCCATAATGTATTTTATGAGTCTATGCTAGGTAAGTACGACTCGGGTCCCTCACATGTCTTGTCTTATGAGCCATTCCCACTCCAGAAAGATCTATCATATGAGAAGGTGCCGGTAGGTATTTTGGACAAGAAGAGTAGAGTGCTTCGCAGCAGAGAAATTCCCATCGTCAAGGTCTTATGGCAGAATCACTTGAAAAACGAGGCCACTTGGGAGTTAAAATCAGACTTCAGGACTCAGTACCCTCAACTGCTTGACTAGTAAGAGAGCGACAAATTTGAGGGATCAAATTTTTCTTAAGGGAGGAGAGTTGTAACACTCGAATTCAAAAATTAGGTCCGAGATAAATTAATAATAATAAATTAAAATAATTTAATTTTAATTTTTATGAATTTTAAGAAGAAAATTTGTGTTTTGGATGCATTTGAAATTATTTTTAAAAATCATGACCAAAGTAGAAATAAGAGAGAACCTATTTGAAAAGAAATTTAAAAAATTGGAGTAAAAGTGAAAATAATAAAACTTTGGCCATGTGGACTGCCATGTCAGTAGTACGGTCGGTCACCGTGCACCGCGTGGGCACACGTCCATGCGGAAGACACGTAAATGATTCGCATGCTAGCAGATCTAACGACCCAGATCTCCTCCCACGCGTACGAACGACCTAGATTTATGTCTCCCTCAAGCACAATCGAACGGTCCTGATTTCATCTGATTGTGCAGTCCAGATTCATTCTCTAGATAAGATTAATTTATCGGTTGAGGATGGACCATGTCTCAAACAGACGACCCGAGTTTAATGAAGAGGAGTATTTAAACTCTTTTTTCATAGGAAACCCTAACCCTAGCCGTTAAGAGGAGATCAGAGAAGAAGAAGGGTGGCGGTCTGTTTTGTTGAGAAGCTGGAGATTCATTCGGTCCCGAAGACGCCGTATGAGAGGAACAGATGACGAAGATATAGAAAAAGCCATCTTTATAGTTAGTTATTTTCTTTTAGACACTTTGTAATATTATTTCTAATCCCATAAATTGTTGTATGTTTGAAACCTTCATCGAAAATCAAGCGCTTCTGTTTTCATCTAATACAAATATGATTTCACTTATGTAATTATTTTTCTTTTCTAGTTTAAGTCAATGGCCAATCATATGCTTGTCTTG